TTCCTGCTTAGCAGGTCATCATGGGAATTTTCCTTTTTTCAGGAATATATTGCTAAGAACTTCTGCATCATGCAGTCCCAGATTGGTTATGATATTCTGGCAGAAGATACCATCACAGCTTTGTTGCACAACAACAGAAAACTGCTAGAGAAACACATCACGGCTAAAGAAATAGAGACATTTGTGAATTTACTCAGGAGAAATCGGGAGCCAAGGTTTGAAGTGGTCTATGTAACATTCTTTTTCTGTATTGATGGGCTTTTGCATTTGTAGTAGCTGTGAACCTGCTGCTGTTTCATTGCTTTGATGTCTCTTTCTTCCAGTTTTGACATGGCAGACAAAAGACCCACATGTGCAGTGTCATACTAGGAAATACCAGAGCTACCTGTAATTCTTGAGATTTGAAGATATCTGCAGTCTGGAACTAGAGCTTACTGAAAAAAAGGTTTATACTTTACAGGACAATTTTGAGCATTTAGTGACAGTTCAGACTGGGGCAAAGAGAAATGAACAGAAAGTTTGATTTCTCCTAGCTCTGCTGCTCCTCTGTGAAATTGCCACTTGTGTTGGTTCCCCTGTGACTAATCTTGGTGTAAATTACACAGATGTCAATTTTACTAAGCAGTTTTCCTGCAGATTCTGATTCCAGATCAGACCTGAAAAGGGCCTAGGGCAGTGAATATCCCAGTAAACGTGTCCTAGAGCAAATTTTGTTCCAAACAAAAAATTCTGGCTTGAACTTCAGGCAGCTGAATTTTTTTTTAATCAGCTTTAGGTCAGAATATAAAGGAAATGTTTGGAATTTTTTAATGGAAAATCTATCTGGTTTTTTTATTGGATTTTCTGTAGTAAAATTTAAAAGTACAAATATAAGCAATTAATGTACTGAAGGCTAAATATTTTCCTCTGTAATTGCAAATACCATTTTTCTCTTAATAATTAGGATATTACTCAAGGCTTGGTGCTTCACTGCTTCAATTATTTTCTATATGTCTGCAGCTGTTTTGCCTCACTCTAATCTCATTGCCTCTCCCATGCTGAACTGTGTTGGGTTTGGTCAGTACTAAGAAGAAACCACATGAGATGAGCTCCATCCCAGTGCTGAAGGGTCCCAGTGTTCATTGACACATCACATATTTTGTGGTGAAGGATGTCATAGAATTTGTGGCATAACTACATTGTGCAACTGCTGTGTCTCCAGTTCTTCAAGGCTGCAGTCCATCCATCCTGCAGGGCTGGATGCTAGAAATTTCTACTGCAGTACTGCTGAGTGGTATTTTAAGTCTCATATTCTGTTGCATCTGGTTTTTTTTGACTGCAGATTCTTGGATTATCTGTCAGACCTGTGTGTGTCTAACACCACAGCAATACCAGTAACTCAGGAACTCATCTGCAAGTTCATGCTGAGCCCAGGGAATGCTGACATCCTCATTCAGACCAAGTGAGCATCCACAACTGGAACATACCACCTTGTTGTTGTCAGCTGTGTCATTATATTCGTAGCAGTTTGCTAGTGGCTCCATTGTGAATGGTTTGTGTTTGCAGGCTGGTTTCAACACAAATGGACAATCTCTTGGAATGCCCAGTCATCTCAGATGACATGGATGAAGAGGAAGTGTGGCTTTACTGGATTGACAGTAACAAGGAGCCTCATGGCAAAGCCATCAGGCATCTGGCTCAGGAGGCGAAGGAGGGCACGAAAGCTGATTTAGAAGTTCTTACCTACTACAGGTAAAACTACCTATTCAAATGGAAGAAAATGTAAACTCTTTGAAGATGCCAATGCTGTTCTTATCCAGTTCATTTGCCAGTATAAAAGCAGTTGAAACCATCCCATGCCAGAAACTGAGATTAAAAGTTTGTTTCAAGTTTTTCCTGCTGGAAAATTTCCTGCTCATGCAGGAAGCATCATCATCTATTTTTGTTCATTACAATCATCATTAGTCTTTTCCAGCTGTATCTTGAGTTTCACTTGCTCATGACAGCTCTTTGTATCTATCATTTTGCCTCTTACCTGTTATTTTTTTGGTATTTAATTTTAGGTTGTGCTGCCTTGGAAGTAAGGCAAGCTCTGAGGGGGAAGTGCTGTGAGTGTCTTGAGGATTAGAGGGGAAATGGGACCACAGAACAGTGTCTTACCCTGATGGAAAGCAAATACCCTAAATGCTTCAGCCTTCCATTGACAGCGTTTCCTTTGAGTTCCAGAGGGAGCCCATTTTTCATGGGGGCTGGATCCTGACATTAGCATTTTTAATGGCAAGTTGATCCCTTGCTTAGCAAAGTCACTCTTGTTAATCTTTAGGCTTTATGTCAGAAAGGCTCACAACAAGCTTGTGAAATAAGATTCTGAGGTACTGATTTTTTTTGAATACCATATATTATTACCTTTTTTTAAGGTACCAACTGAACCTCTTTGCAAGAATGTGCCTGGACCGCCAATATCTTGCCATCAACCAGATTTCTGCACAGCTCTCAGTAGACTTGATCCTTCGCTGTATGTCTGATGAAAGCCTCCCTTACGACCTCCGCGCTTCGTTTTGTCGTCTCATGCTACACATGCATGTGGACAGAGATCCTCAGGAATCTGTGGTACCTGTCAAATATGCCAGATTGTGGACTGAGATTCCTACTAAGATCACAATTCATGAGTGAGTTGAAAGCGTTTCAAACTAAAGTGCAAAAGCACTTTGTAGGGGTTAGTCTCAGAACAAAATAGTTGTAGATTTCTAATGTAGATGGAACATGTATGTGTGAAAAGGTATTTTGTTGCAGAGCACAGAACTCTTAATTATTCTTACTCTTGGAGACTTAGTAGCTTTTATTCATTGAAGACTTAAATTCTGTTTTTTACTGTGTTCTTATAGGGAACAAGCTGGGGAAAAATGGAATGGCCTTTCCTCAGATCAACTGAACTTGAAGTAATCTGATTGTGTCTAACATTACAAGTTTGCTAGGCTGGAACTCAGTTTTATACCTCCAGCTCAACTGAAAGCCACAGTTGGGAGCCCAGAATTTGCAGTTAGATACAGCTACTGCCCAGAAACAGTTCACTAGGTGGAGACTTTGGCCTTAAAGTGTGTAAGCATGTGTTAAATTGAAGTGTGGGAGAAGGATTCATTGACTGAGTGGAAACTCTCTCTGGCTTCATTGATTTGATGGAGCAGCAGCACTGGGATAGACCCAGCCAGGGAGTATCTGGCTGAAGAAGCAAAGAGGAAGAAGCGCAGTAGCGCAGCAGGCAGTGTTGCTTCTGTTAGTGAGCTGAAGGACAGTTTTGACATACAGGAAAAATCAGTCCTCGATGGTGGTGCAAAGGAAGAAGCTGTCCCAGGCTGCTTTCCTGATCTGCTGTCTTCCTTGCTGAAATAGTAACACTGGCTGCTGGGTAGAGAGAACAGTTGAGACTTAGTGACTTGTTGAATTGCCACAGTGAGATTTAAGAGTGCTATCTGCCAGAACCATAGTATTTTCCTGTCTCTGTTACTCCTGCTCACTGCAACCCTTCCTGATACTGTTGGAGGGAAGGTTTATGCATCCTCTTTGTATATCTATGACAACTCAGCTGGCCTCTACCCTTCTCCTTACAGAGAACTGACAGTAATTTCATGGCATCGTGATTAGTTTGTTTTTCGTTTAGTGACAGCTTATCCTGATATTAAAGGTGTTTAATTTTTCTTCTTTCTGTGCCTTGCATTGTAGGTATGATTCCTTCACAGACTCTTCGAGGAATGAAATGAAGACGAAGTTTGCACTAACTATGGAATTCGTAGAAGAGTACTTGAAAGAAGTTGTAAATCAGCCCTTTCCTTTTGGAGACAAAGAGAAAAATAAACTTACATTTGAGGTACATCTCAGCTATTGCATCCTACTTACTGTATTCCTCATTTCAGATAAGTTGACATTAGTTTTGTCAAATTAAATGTAGTTGCAGTATAAATGTTGGTGTAAAATATCCTACAGAGGCACCACTTCCTTACTCCAGTGTTCTTGGTAAAGACTGTTACTACAGAAAAATAATATTATCTGCTGTCAAACAGCTGTATTTTTTCTTCCTTCTCCTGAGGTGATTGCATTTCAGTGGCAGGAGAAGGGATACATGGAGGGGTGAATTGCCTTATATCCTTTCTTCCTACATTAGCGAATTAGCATGTAGAGATTTTTCAATATAAGGAAGTACTATTCTCTGTGTAAGATATGAGACTGAAAGAAACACTCTGAATAACCTAATACTGTGGTTTAAATATTATTTGAAATTCCTGGCAGAAACTTTAGATAGGCCTAAATTTTCTAGATTCAAATATGATTGAATAAAGGGGAAATGCTTACAGCTTTTATAGTTCTTCCTCCAACCTACCTCCCAAGCCTTGTTTCTCCTGTCTCTGATCACCTGAAATCACCTCTGTTTAAACTTACCACAATCATCTTATTCTTCTGACTTCCATCTTCCCTACAGCTTCTGCCTCTTTAAATAATCTTATATATTTTCGCAGATGCAATTGTATCCTTTCAAGCCTTCCTAAATCTCATCTTGATCTTGCTGTCTTCTGTAATTTGACTGACCAATTGTTTTGTCTAATTCTGGCAAACATATAATGCCACTGGCCCAAGTCCAAGGCCCCCTTAAGTCAGTGGGAAGACGTGGGCTAATTTGAATGTGTTCCAGATCTGAATCTCTCTGGAAGCTGCTGTGTGAAATGCCACAGTACTGCACAGCCAAACACCACAAAGGTTGTCAATACTTGCTTCATTTTTAATTTCTTTTTCTCTAGGTGGTACATCTGGCTCGAAACCTCATATACTTTGGCTTTTATAGTTTTAGTGAGCTTCTCAGACTGACCCGGACGTTACTGGCAATTCTAGATATTGTTCAAGTTCCTATATCATCATACTTTGAAAGGCTGAGCAAGTTTCAGGATGGAGGTGAGAAAAGCAGCTAAGATTGTTATTCTAGTGTGCAATTATTTATTTATTTTAGGTTGGAAATAATTTATGGAACATCTCATTTCTCTTTCAAGATTCTTTATTCACACAAAAACCCACCTGCAGGATGTATTTCAGGCTACATTAAGATGGTCAGCTACAAAGGAACCTTTTTGAACAGAGCTGCAGCCTTCAGAACTTGTGGTTACTGCATTGGTGTTGCTGCTCCTTTGCTTGTTTGGAACTGAACTTTCGAATTTGGTTCTAAGCCTTGGTGTCCCTTGCAGTGAACATCCCAAGCAAGTTCAAACAGCATTTGCCTGTGCACAGTAATTATGATGGCTCTTGTGGCACAAGTGTTTATTAGTCGTCTTAGCACTTCACTGAAAGGGACGATAAGATGCTACTGGTCCCACAATTGCAGAAGCACCAGATGGAAGTCCAGAGGAGGCCATTCCCTGCATGTGTTTGCTAGTTTAGAATGTTCTTTTTTTACCCAGCATATAGTGCCTGTCTGACAACCCCAGAACTATACTGTATGTCCCACTGCCTTTTCTACCATGGCTTAAAACAGGATTGAAGAATGAGCATGACAGGAAGGTGCCGAAACTTAGCTGTTTAATTTTCCTGTGTGTGTGGAAGAGAGGTATGACAGTTGTGTGGGCTGAGGATCCAGGAGACTGATGGCAAATTCTGTTTTAATATGTAGCTGGTGTTGCCAGCCAGCTGGCTCACAGCACCAAAATGGATGAGCTGTCTTGTTTGAAACCATTATTTTGTATTTTCTCTGGGAGGCCTTTTCCCAGCCTTGAGTTTTTCTAATCATCGTTTTGCTCAGTCAGTCCCACAGATGCCCTGCAGGAGTGTGCCATCCTTCATAACTTTTTTCTTCTTTGAGGTTTCCACATTCTGGAGTAGTACAGACTGTCATCTCTGACCCAACAGGTCTTATGCTTGGTTCTCTTGATCTTCCCTCCATCACACTGCCAGTAGACTTTACCAAATACCTCTGGAAGTCTTTCCTGCAATGCTGTGCACACTAAGGCATGCTGTAGCTGACTGCAGTCCCCCCCAGCACTAGAGAAAAGACAGTATATTCAGGCACTTGGAATTTTGGAGGTTTTTTTAAGCATCCAGTCAGTGACCACAAATGTCTAGGCATTAGCTTTAATTCAGTAAGAACATATACTTCATGCTTTGAGCTTTGAAGTGTAGCTCTAAACCCCAGTTTTGACAAACACTGAAAGCCAGTCATGATGCCTGAGACTGAGAGTTTAGTGGTGTAAACAAATACGTTTAAATTTTGCCAAGCATCCTGTAACTCTACTGTAGGAAAATGCTACTGAATACCTGCTTAGGCTCTGTATATTTTAATTTTTAGCACTATCTTATTGCAAATTTGCATAGAGGAATATTAAATGTATATTTGACAGCAATATTTTGTCAATAATTATGCCTATTCAGAAATGCAGTTGTTCTCAGATTACAGGAAAAGTAACTTGAAAAGAGACTTGACCAAATGGAAATGTAATGTAATTCCTATTCTGCAGCTGCAGTAGATGAGAGATGGCATCTCTGTAGAAGTTAAGAATTCGGTTAGGATTTATGTATTTTGCATGATAGGTCCTGTCTTTTAGTTTTGTTTAAAAACACTGATTTCTGTGGGGGAATCAGCGCTGAATAAATCTGGGGACAGAGAGGCCTTTCCAGTATTGACATTGACTTGTTCCAGGTCAGTAGCAATAAAAGCTTCCACATCTGATTCCTACAATGTGAAGTTGTAGGGAACTGGTGAGCTTGGCTCTTTACCAGTCCACATTGTGAAAACTGTAGTCAGGATTTTGGGAAATAGATTAATGATGGGTGGAAGAATGTGGTGTGTCTTGGCTTTGGGAAACCTGTTTGGAGTTGTGCACCTCAAAATTGCAATGAGATTTTTCAACCAGCAGTCTGGAGCCTTCTTCCCTGTTTAATGTTTATTTCCTAAATAGACCCACTTAGATCAGTAAAACTACTTGCTAAGTAAGGAAATATATATGACAAGTGTTGAACTGTTGAAGCAAATCTGTAAAATGAGACATATTTTTAGGCTTAGTGAAAGTTGCATGAAGACTTAATTAACCTTTTACCTTAAGATGTTCTTTTCCATCCTTTGCTTAAATTTTGAGGCACCCTGATGGCTGAGGTAGTCCTTGATGTCTTGTATGAGTTTCTCTATCTTGGTTCTGCAAAGATTCTAAAAAGATCACCAATCATACAATGGTTTAGATTGGAAGGGACTTTAAAAACCACCTAGTTCCAGCCCCCCTGCCATGGCCAGGGACACCTTTCATTGGACCAAGTTGCTCCAAGCCCCATCCAACCTGGCCTTGGACCACTTGCAGGGTTGGAACAGCCACAGCTTGTCTGGGCAACCTGTTCCAGTGCCTCATCACACTGACAGGAAAGAATTTCTGCCTAATCTCTAATCTAAACCTACTTTCTGTCAGTTCAAAGTTTTTCCCCTTTGTCCTATTGATCCTTACATTATTGTAAATGTTATGCCTTACTTCCTTTAAAAAGCTTGATTTTAATGCTCCTGTCAGTTATGTTAACCAGAATTAAATTAGTGTGCATGTAGTTTTTAGGTGTGACCTTATTTGACAAAGACAGATTGGGGAAAGTTGGCTAAGAAACGTTTGTGAGAGAAGATCCTGGAAAAAGAAAAGATGTGTATTTTTGGAAATACTTCTTACCTAGATTGCACCCTAAAAATGAATTGACTTGAAAATGTTGGAAACAACTTTTTTTTTTCAGCCAGTGTGTCTTAACTTTTTGTGATTATTTGAAGCTTTTTTTCTGTTTCTTTTTTCCCCTTTTGGATTCTACTAAACAAAAACTAAACAAAAAAACCCCAAACCCAAACCAAATTAAAAAAACCCAAACCACAAACAAACCAAACCCAAAACCAACATGAACCAACCCTATGAATCCTCTGTGACCAAGAAGGACCAGATTTCATCCAAGACTATTAGAAATGACTATTGTTTCTCAGCCTTGCATCCATGTCTGTTCACTGCTCTTTTGTCTAGTTAACAATTTGAAGTATCTTCTTGAGGCATACTTTGATTAGCAGAGCTAATGAGGCAGTGGCTGCCTGGCAGACTGGAGTGATAATTTATGCCAGTAGTTTACAAGAAAAGAAGGGTTACAAGAGCAAAAAAGGATTTAACCCTTAGGAAAGCTGACCGTGTTAGACACACATGTCTACAGTGGAACAACTGCTGTTCAGTGCAGATTATTGCCAGACCAAAGAGGAGGTCAGTCTGAGAGCTTAATTCTGACATGAACCATCTTTCTTGCCTCCTTATTCTTTCTCACATCATGAAACCTGTGCATTAATGTGATTCCAGAGACCATTGCTCTTCTAGGAATCAATATCCGTTTTGCAGATGTAACTGAGCTAGAAGGTTTAATTCCCATGATGCTTTTTACCTTCAAGTCCAGCATGGTGATGTATGTATATTTCCGTTTGCTTAATGTCCATGGCATGAAAGCCATGCTTGACACTGCTTTGTGGTTTTAGGGATAGCCAAAATCAACAGTACCTGCAGCAGGTTAGGAGAAGGTAAAGTTTGGTGGAGTTTCACCATGGCTGGTCAGTGGTGAGTCTGTCTGCAGAAAGGGAGGACTTGTGGATATGCTCTGAGTAAGTGGAGGCTTAAGTGGCCAGATTCACTCATGGAGTGAGTAGCAAATGTATGTGCACTGCACATTGTAGGCTTTTGTGTTTGTTTTGCCTCATTAGTTGTGAGGACTGTATAAAATGTCGAAGTGACCTCACCCTGTTCTTTTAATGTCATGCATTAGGCTTTCTGTGAGGCTTACCTGCAGTCAGCTAGTTATTGAGCGATGAAAAATGGTTTAATGAAGACATAAAGTGTGATTCTTGGCCTGTTTATCGTAGGTTCTGAAGTCTTTAGGAACAAATTCTGTAGAAAACCTGTAAAAATTAATACCTCTTTCACAAACAGAGCTGTAAGGCTTAATATTTCTGGCAAATAATACACAGCTCTAAAGGGTTTGAAATAAAATGTGTTCCTTTAGGTACTGAAGTGTTGTTATTATATGTCTTAAAAATGACTGTAACTTTTCATGCAGAAAAATTAAATTGCATAAAGCAATGTAACCAAATCAGCAAAGGCAAAGAAATGTAGTGCTAAAGCTGCCATTGGATTTTTAATTTCACCCTTGGTGACTAGACATTGCTGTGCATACAGTTCCTTGCTGGAGGATCCCCAAGGACTGGCAGTGATGTATGCTTTAGGATGGCACTGAAGCTTTAGGAAGTTTATGGTGGAGCAATTGTATAGGTCTCACTGACAACCAGAGAGCCAAGGTTTTTTGGAGTATTACTGTTCTAAGTACTGCCTTAAAACCTGGTTGAACACACCTACAGTGATTGAGACAAGGTCAGGTCTGCTGAAAACTCACTTTGATGATGGTGGCAGATATCTCCTAATGCAGTAGTGAACTGGGAAACCAGCCTAAAGCTTCCCAGCACACTGGCAAATATCAGTTTTGCCTCACAAAGGCTACACTTGGTCAAAGTTAAATCTGTGGGGAAAATGAGAGTGGCTGAGGAGGACTGAGAAAGCTTTCGGATTTCATTGCGTTATAGATGGTGAAGGTCTGTAGATCATCTAGTCCCAGTTCTCCCTGCCCTGGGCAGGTACACCTCCCACCAGATTGCTCGAGGCGAGGCCTTATCCAACCTGGTTTTGAACACTGCCAGGGTTGAGGCAGCCACAGCCTCCCTTGGGCAACCTGTGCAGTGCCTCATCACCCTCAAAGTAAAAAAAGTCTTCCTAATATCTAATCTAAATTTCTCATCTTTCAACTAGGGACCAGATCAGGTGCCTATAGTTAATTTTTAAATAAGCAAGGCTGCACGTTGGCTTCCTGGCATCTCAGGGATTTCTGTGGAGCAGAGGGCTGCTCACTGTAAGGGGACGTGCCAGCCTCTGAGCCTTCCGTTGTGCATCCACCTTCAGCTACCGCTTGGTTGTCTTCCCTGTGTGTGAGACACTCAGAATGCTGTGGGTCCTGGAGAGCAAACTGAGGACACTGTGCAGCTGTTGGCTGGGAACAATTTGAAGAAAAGGCACGAATTGCCAGCTGCCTTTGACAGTTGTTTTTAATTCTGAATATGGTATTTTGTCACTTACAATCCATACTGTATTCCATAGCAGATTGTTGTTTACTTTTATATTCTGCTTTTAGAATTTTTGCAACCAGTAAATGACTTATCAAGAAAATATGTTTATGTAGAAAATGAAGTGTCAAATTATCCACTGTTTCGATTACTTGGGTGGTTGTTATTTTTTTCCCATAATTGACTCCTCTGAAAAGCCTTTCTTCTCAGAGAGGCCGTTGTGTTGTCAATCGTGCCAAATTGTATGAGATTATGTGCTACAGTTTTGTGACAGAAACTGATACTCATTAGGAAGTTGTGATCACTGTAATAAAAAGTAATGAAAAGGAGGTGCATAGTTGTCTTTTCAAAACATGACAAGCATTCTCTTCTTTCCTCTTCAGTGTCTGTCAATCTGCAGCTCCTTTAAATTACCACTTGTGTGTGGTGATTTTACTCCTCCGTTGAATAATCTTGTGAGATTGTACATTCAACAGGAGACATTTCTAATGGTTCCACTGCTTACGGAAGGCTCTTGGCTTCAGACTTGTCTTGGCAGAGGGAGGAGTAGAGACCAAGGGAAAATAGGAAAAAGAAGATTCATGGAGATTGCCTTGTGTTCTTTTCCTCTGTTGGTCCGTCACAGCTCTGAGCACTTTTGCAATGGCTTACTGGTGAGAGAAGTGGTTGGTTGCACATACTAGCACCTCACAACATTGCAATGACCATTCTCTCCCTGCCACAGTTCTCAGCCATATATAACTGTATATACCTTGAGCACAAAGAACACGCAGGTTAAGGGTGCCAGTACCGTAGGAAGGCATAGTTCAGGCTTCTCTTCACTCTTCTGTAGCACAGTGCACATGAAAGTAATCAGGGTTCACATCTACTTGCTCTCTGTCCTGTTTTAGCTTAGTTAACTACCTGAGGCAGTAAGTTAATTTTTCTTTGGTCATTGGTATTCAGAAAACACTTTGGAGATGTGACTAAGATCAGAGCTTCCTTAGTTTAGTCATTGTGGGCATATGTACTAAGAAGTTAAATCTCTTTTATTGAGCCAGTGTATTTGTCTTGCATTGTTGCAGGCTTAGTTGACATGGAGTCAGTCACTTCTTAAGCTGCAATAAGCTTTTTGCATGTCTTACCTCAGATGCATACCCTTCCCTGCTGAGGTAACTCTGTTACAGCCAAGAGAACTAAAAGCTTGGCAAGGAGAAACAGCTCCCTAGCAAAACTGCTGCTGGACCCTGATATTTGTGAGTGACAGATTTAAATCCATGCTTAACATGGTCTAGACTTTCAAGGCTGAACAGCACTGAGCATCATGGGTGCTGGTTACTTGTGGATCTTTTGGAAGAGAAGTTACTGCCCTTTCTTTATGTACACAAATGTTCCCCACGGCTTCTTTCACACAGCAGAGCAGTTCCTCTCAGTGTTGAGACATATAAGCTGCTTCACTGCCATGCATGAACGTATTGGTTAACTACTGTCTGCTTCTAAGAGATGGTTATGTTTCATCAGCACCCTGCAAAACACAGTTGTTAAAATAACCTTTCCTGAAAGGAACGCTGAATTGCTCCAGTATTATTTTAACTCTGGAAATGTTTTCCTCAAGCCTGTTTTGTGTGAATTGAAAATTATAGTAAGCATCAGGCAGTTAATTAGAAACTTTTCCAAGATGGGTGTACCCATGACACCTTGTCTCACTGCTGTAATTGACAGAAGTAATACAGTATTGAGTCGCTACCCATTTCAGCTGTAAATACTGGACTGGATTAAGTAGACTTTTCTCTCACTAAAATCCTTTCCTATGCATTAATGAAATAGAATTTGAAATGGCAGGGATAATAAGTTTCACCTTAATCCTCCTTTGTTTTCCCACCTCTATCTGTTGAGATCAGTTTCATGAAGGCCAATAGTAAAGGAATATTTTGGACAGAGGGTTTATCTTTACTAGCAATGCCACTGGGAAGCAGCTTCATAGCCACCACTTACTGGTGTGTACCATCTTTGACCACTGGTGTTCTGTGGGTAAGAGGAGAGGAGAGCAGTCATCTCATTTCTTCTTATTTTCTAGATGCTTTTATAGACTCCATTATCACATTAGCTGAGTGCCTCACAGTCTTTGTCATTACAGGCCTCTCACTGCCCTTTTTAGAGGTAGAGAAAGTTTATGGAGGTCATCCTGAAATGCAGAGAGAATGACTAATTCCTTGGTCACGGAAGGAGTTGAATCCCATCCCCTGCTGTGCCCATGCAGCACCCCAGTGATAGCTGAGAAATAAGCAAGATAAATGCTCTAGGCAAAATCCCAGATTTCTTTCTCCAAGAATATGAGGTTGACTCAAGATGTTGTCTGACTCCTTATCCAAAAGGCACTAACTTTTCTTCGAACTTTACACCAAGTAGACTTCAGTTTTGAAGGGTGAACAGGAACTTTTCAGGTTAAAGTGGAATTCTTCTGCCTCATTTGGGACAAACTGCAGTTGTATCTAATTTTTGAGAAGAATATCTTCTGGACTTGTCTTAGACTTAAGTGGTTTAATTATCCTTAACCCCATTGACTAATATACCCATTGACTCAAGTTGTTTTATAAAGAATTCTTGAGCTTTGCAAATAACTTCTATTGATATTTGTTTGCACAGCTGAGTGAAAGGGGGTTTGAAAACCTGTTGTGAGAGAGAGGATGATGACTTCTCAACTGAGATGTAGAGCATGAAGCAGCGGCGCAACCTACAGGTCTTGTTGTGGGCTTAGCCATCAGCCTTAAGGACAGGATGAAATGACTGAGGTCATTTATTTCATGGTTTGAAGATGAAAAAGATGCAAAAAGACAGTTTAACTGAAGGCACTTTTAAAGTTGAAGGTCCTTCACTCTGTACACTAGCTTTACACGGGTGTACTGAATGGTGGTCAGCGGAAATAAATGTTTAACACACTGGGAGAAAGGTGTTGGGGAGTGAGAGAGATATCCACACTATGTTATTCCCAAGCTGTTTGATTTGATTTGAAAGGATTTTCATTTTGCATCAAGAAGTGTATTTGGAATGATTTTGTTTGCTTGACGCTGGTGTAAGCAGTTAGAACTTTCTGTGCCTGCCTAATGTGAGGATCCAATCCTTAGTCTGACATCTAGGTGTTTTTTCCCTGGCATCATGCAAAGTCAGAAGTACCTTTTTTCCTCTCCTTTGTAGGGACTTGAAGTATTATTTTCAAAAGACCAATTCAGAGTGATTGCACACCAGACCAGATGCCGAATGGGACCTCAAACCTGACACTAATCTGCTTCATTCACTTTGAAAAAGCAAATTCTTTGTGTGTTTTCCTTT